AGCGCGCGCGTCACGTCACGGGCGCGAAACCCGTCAGGCTGGGTGTCTCAAGGCCTCGTATTGTTCCCCTTTCGTCCGGGAGCGCTCTGTAACCCGCTCTGTCGCGTTGGACCGGTTCAGAGTGCCGCGGTGTCGAGCCGGGCCGCACCAGCGAACGGGGAACGACGGCTCTTTGTGGCGCGCACAATACAGATCGTTCCCCCGGCAGCGGCGCCTTAGTTTGGGTGACAAATGATGGGGTGATTAATGGTGAAGTTGGCGTCATACCGCTACTATCAACTGCCAGAGGATGGCGGCATGGTGTGGTAAGGTATGGCCATACCACCGGTCCTGTGATGTCCAGCCCGACACCGCGGCTGCTCCATAGATGCCTCCTCAGGAAAGCGTGTTGAGCCTATCAGTGAAGCCCTGCCTTTGTGGGTCAATAAGCCCGGCTGGACAACACGGCACCGCCGAAGCGGAAGACCGCGCCGCCGGGGGGCTGGGGAAGTGGGCCGGTGGGGACGGATGCCGACGACCGGCGCCTGTGGCGGGCCTGCACGCTGCCAAACTCGGATGTGCTAATTTGATGGCAATTTGATTGCAAAGCACCACTGCGTGTGTCGCTGCAGCGCGTCTGTGCGCAGCTCAGCAGGACGATCCGTCACCCGTCGGACCAACTGCAAAGCTGCACACCAAACCACTCACGCAGTTTATCAATTATCTCCACATGCACCCACGCAAGGCCGGAGATTGTCAGTTGGCCTACCGCGAACTGCGCTCCCCGCGCACTCACGTCGTACTGCTCGTCCACACTCACACGTCCTTCACAACTCCGAGAGAGCGCACCGGGCGCCGGCACATAGACGCACGGAGACACACACCTTCACCGCCCAGCACCTGTCGCGCGACTGCTGCCCGCCCGCCCGGCCGGCGCCGCCTCCGCCGCCTCACCGCCCGCCCGGCCGGTCCGGTCCGGTCCGGTCCGCCGCCGGCGGCCGGGCGGGCCGTCAGCGGGAAAGAACCCGAGACGGGCCGGGCGGCAAAACAGGGGAGGTAAAAATACCGGCCCAGCCTCGCGGGGGAGGAGGAGGCCACGGAGAGTCGGCACAGGTGCCACCGTGGTGTGAGGGCAGCACGGCAGAGAAGAGTACATAACGCAGGGTAACGACCCCGGTCTCGGGTCGCCGAGCAAAAGTCGCACTTTTCTGCAACAGACAAATGAGTGCAGCTTATGGGGATATACACGCGCCCTCAAAAGCGCACTTTATTGACTGATGACCAGCAAATGGTGGTGGCTTAGCCCGTCTGGATGAGAGATGGATGACATCGTATGATGAATGAGAGCTTTGAAAGGCACCGCTACAGAGCTGGGGGCGCATTGAACCCCTTCGATATTAATAGGTGGGAAGCCTGGGGTCGTCACAAGCCGACCCAGTGCATTTGCAATGCATTGAGGATTTCCCGATGGGCCAGGCCGGTGCGAGTACAAATGGAAATGGTATTCGGGAATAATCGGCAGCCTTGCCAGTTGCCATGCAAGGGAGTTCGGTGGGGTTGGGAGTGTCGCCACGGTTACACATCGTTTGTTGTGATATTGCTGCATCGCGACACACTTTGGCCGCATTTTTGTCAATGAAAGCATCGCATAGTCATGTCATATCTCCATGACTAAGCGCTACTGGTAAATAGAAACAGGAAATGTAGGTGAGTTTATACAAAGTTTATACAAGTTTGCATAGTTATTGTGGTCGTGTATAATTTCAAAGTAGCTGCTATGATTTATGTTAGGTAAATAGAGAGAGAGAGAGAGAGAGAGAGAGAGAGAGAGAGAGGGGGGGAGAGAGAGAGAGAGAGAGAGGAGAGAGAGAGAATGAGGGAAAGAGCGAGGGAAAGTAAGAGAGAAAAGACGTCTTCAGCATTCGGCATTTTCGAGCTTGGTAAAACCCAAAATTCTTACAGAGTAAAACCCAACTACTTGTAGACCTATGAGGGACACCATGCTGAAGACGCTTTACTACAACCGTTACGAGTAAACGCATCCCGTGGAGCTACAATGAGCCATGAAGTTACTGGAGGCTCACCGCGCGGGAACTTATATGCTTTCAGACTGGGGGGCACACCATAATAGAGATCAACTTAAGGTACCCCCAAATCCAGTTTTCTCGCCGGTTTTAGGCCACTTATTTTTTGGCCCTTGGCTTTTTCAACAAAGAAGAAAACATTTGCAAAAAAAAGTGTGATATTCCGTCTTAAAGTTGTCCACGGCCCCAGACTTGGGGGGGCAAGCTGCTCTCACTGCCCCCCCCCCCCCCGGTTCCCGCGCCTATGGGCTCACCTCGCCTCAATAGCCTCAATGCCTATAGCCTCCTCCAGCTGCACGACCTACGTGCATGGACAGCTCGGCTCTCGGAAGGATGACTGGCCAATGTTAACGCGCTAATTATACATAAAACGACTAGCCGACCGGTTTGGCTGCTGATTCACAAAACGGCCAGGTCAGCGTGATAAAAACTACAGGCATCAGATCGACTCCTGCGCTGAATCATATTCGGATTTGATAACAGTGGACTCAAAAACCGGTTTGTGGATTGAATCACAGCCCGGTGTTGGGTACGCAAGACGCACACAAATCCCTGGAATGACCTGAAGAGTTACCTGGAATACACTGTAGCGAGCATAGTTAGTTGCCTATCGGTAGCTATCGCAGAATTCCACACCAAAGGGGCATCACCAGGTGAGAAGTATAGGCACTATAAAATGTTGGATTTTGGGCCATACGTCACTTAAATAGGCAGCATGCTTAGGAACTAGTTCAGCTCAGTTTAGCTTCGTTTAGCTGTGCTCAGTTTACGCTCTGCAAGATAGGTAGCATGCCATATACACAATAACGCAAACTTCTTAACAAAAGTAGGGTCACCGTCTATGCCGTGACGACGTTGAACTGAAGTCATTCCTTTGTTTGTGGTTATTCCGCTAGTCTCTGCATAACAGGAAAACTCAGCCTCTTTGTCCCTGCTCAATGTATAACACGTATGTGGTTCAATTTACTTACAGCATTTACATTATTAGAAAGCCTACAAGCCGCCGGAATAAACGACAAAGCACAATGGCAGGTTATGAGCTCACCAATCTGACTGCTCCTACAGCCATGAGCCAACCCGCTCGCGTATGCACAGAAAATAAGAACAAATGCCTGTAATAGGTACTTTTATTACGGTAGGTAAGTAATTGGGGCAAACGCGTTACAGTTGCCAAGGAAGAAAATGATGTAGGCACCAAAGCATTTACAACACGCAGCTTTTCTACCTATTATCCCAGTCACTCCCTTGCGAGATTCGTAGGTTGGTATGTAACAAATGATAGATGTCTTTTCTAAGGCGAAGAAAAAAATAATGCAAACGTAATTATTTATTACAAATGCTTATTTACCGATGCTTGAAAAAGGGTAAAAAAGAAAGAAAAAATACATTAAATCATTCGAACACTGAAGCCAACATGCACAATTTGTCCCAGTCGCGTTGTGGTCAGGATGTGTCCATTTAGCCCGGCACCGGTGGCAGTTTTTCCGTCCAATCTCCCGCTACTGCCACTGGACACGCTCAGATCCACGAGCTGACCCGCATAGCGCATGGGAAGCCCACGGATTACCGGTCTTACCAAGGCCAGGTAGCCTTTTAAGTTGTATCACGGTTCCCTGTCTATACGTGCTGCCAGTGCGCGTCCAGGGATAGATAGGCCACTGACCATAGATCATTCAATGGCGCTAGGAGACTCCACATGACAACCGTCACAATCCACCCCATGCTGAACTATCGTGACCCTCGCAGCTGCTTGTGGCCTCACACTTCCCTCACGTGGCGCACTCTTTCCGCCTGTGACACTTCACAGCTGTACGTGCCGCCACGTGACAGCCCCGTGCCGCCACGTGACAGCCCCGTGCCGCCACGTGACAGCCCCGTGCCCCGTGACGGCCTGGTGGCCTCTATGTGAGTCCCTCTGTCCGCTCTCTCTATCACGCTTGGTCGGTCAAAGGACTTGTCCAATGTCCAATGACCGTTCATTAGCGTAGGCAGGTCGCGCGGACCATTGATGTACCGCATGGGATGGGATGCATGACTGCCGAACCGCCAACGGCAAACTGCGTTCATCTATACCTAAGTAAAAAAAAAAACATTTTAAACGACTAGTTCCCGTGGTCATTGTACTTACTTCCACCATCCAACTTCTCAAAATATGTAAGTTTAGATCAAAGTAGCACCACAATGAAGCAAACAAAGACAGACAAATTATTTCCGGCTACAGAATAACATTACATCATCGAGTGCCACAAAGAGGCCTCGTGCCAAACCAGAGCGCACACGTCACCCCGGCGGCTTTGGCAACAGTGGGAGCTGTTGGTGGGCTGCAAACTGGCTGGAAAACCACGGGGGCCAGCCGCCATCCGAGCGGCCGAGTCCCCCGCGCCTGTCTCAGTCTGGGACGGGAATAGCCGACCACCTGCCCTTGAATAGCTGCCGGATGGCTGCTCGCTGTAAACGGCATGGCAATCAGCCGTAATTGCAGCTGCATACGGCCCGTAGTGGACCGTCATGGAGTGTGGAGGTGAGGGGTACCGTGCGTCACCCTCTATCGGCCCCTCGCATGGCTGGAGTTAGTTTAGGCGCGGAGCCCCGTGAAAAGTCAACAAACAGGGGTGCGTGGGGAAAACAACCGCCGCCCCTGTCATATGATAGGGTCAGCAAAGGCGTGAGAAAGACATGCGCATGCCAAGGTTGTAGCCTAGGGTCGACTGTAGGTGCTAACCTTACGTTAGACGGCACTGGAATTCACGGCATGCAGGTCTGAGTCGGATTTGTGTGCATCATGCTGCAGGGACTGAGGGAGAAACTGCGCTCTCATGAAACCTCCGGGTTTTATTGGACGATCATAAATGCCACATTGCGTGAACAGTAAACCGGCGGATATGGATTGTCCGTGTGAACTCGCAACAGCGAGCCGGTGTTTATCTCGTGACTGACCTTCACAGGAGTGGTGCTGGCGGATGAGGAGCGACGGCGCAGCTTTCCCAGGAGACCTCCGCCCTTCTCCTGACTCTTGACGGGAGTCTCCTGACTCCTGGTGGACTCCGGGGTGTTTCCAGGAGTGTCCCGGATGGATGTATCCTGAATCCAGACATCTGGCTCCAGACTCACCGGTCCTTCCTGATTGTCCCTCACGGTCTCCATGGTAACCAGTACCAAACAAACAGCAGTCACGTCTCTCTACTCAGTCCTCGCACCACACTTTGTCCTCAGCTCAGAGAGTCCGCCTCTACTCAACACAGCACCAGCACTGAATGTTTTGCGGCTCCCTCGCCTCAGTTCACCAATCAGCACATTACTGTGCTCACACAGCTCAGGCAGACGGTACTAACCGACGCGTGCACCACACTGTGCACTGCGCTGTGTGCACGCCGCCTGTGCACGCCGCTCGCCCCTGCCGCCGGCCCTCTGTGCACGCTCCACGCCGGCCGGCCGGACGCCACCAACTGATGCCCGCCGCCCGGCGCGCTCCCCGCCGCCCGGCGCGCTCCCCGCCGCCGAGTGCTGAGGGCGGACACGTGATTCCAGCTCCGGCGGGGGCGGGGGGAGCGCCGGGGGAGGGGTGCGGGTGAGTCAGTCAGAGCGGCCCGTCCTCCCCGCGGCCTCGCCTGGCATCCCGGCGCTGCAGCCTCCCTCTGTACCCCTCCCCTTCCCCAGTTGGCCAGGCCCGGCGCGGTGGGATGGAATGACATGACACACGGCGAGATAGGGCACGGTGTGATGTGGCTTGTCACGGTCTGACCCTGCCTAACCCGGCGCACCACGGTACGAACTGGCACAAATGGGGCGGCAGGCACAACAGAATGCACATTTTACAACACAGGACACCGCAGAATCCAAGCTTTACAACACAGGTCACCCAAACGGCACAGCACAGGCCGATATAATCTGTGACCGGACTGAAGAGACAGGGGGCGGTTCTGGACAAGGATTTTGGCACCCCTCCCCTGCACCCACCCCACCCGCTCCCTCACACCGTCATGGGAGAGTGGCGAGAGTGCCGAAGGGCGGAGAAAGAGAGAGGGGAGACGAGCTGCTAATGGTCACGAGCGCGGAACTTGGGGAGACGAGAGGGAGGAGCCGAGGCCAAGAGCGCCCCGCGGTGCACGAAAAAGGGAGTGGCGTGCACATGTGCCAAACGACTGCCTGGAACGGGGTGGGTATGCCCCGGTATGGGGCTGGTCACGTAGGTTTGGAACGGTATCACGTGGTGTCGGGCTTCTTCAATTGACTTCATGCATGAAGTGCTAAGCAAGTGCTGGGCACATGATGGTTGGATGATTTCATTCGCGCTCATTCAGCTTAGAAATATATTTATAACTGCCGATATGCCGTTCTGCTTACTATTTATTAACCCTCGCATGTGTAGGGGGGGGGGGGTCGGATGGACCCCCCCCCATGGTTTTTCGCGAATAACTCGCGTAAAAAGCGGCCGATCGCGACGAAACTTTCAGTACCCTCGCATTGATCAATTTTACACCTACCCTGTAAATTTCATGACCCTGACCCAAATGACCTTTGACCTGTGACCTCTTTTCCGAGACCATGTTTGGCCGGAATCGCGATTTCGCGTATGTCGGCTCGCACTAGCCGCGTGTTTGCAAGCTTTTTGTGGTTTCAAACGTTCAAACATGTGATTTGATGTTACTCCCGTGTGTGTCAAGGTCACCTGAAGGTCAGGTCAGGTCATTGACCTTTGGTGACCTCGGGTGACCTCGGGTCACTTTTTCGAGTTTTACATGTTTCTAGGCTAGTTTTTGGAGCTGAATTCGAATTTAGCAACCATTTGAACATTTACGAAGTAGTTTTGGTGACTTCGTAACATGTTACGAAGCTGTCAGAGGCGGTTGACACGTACTACGATTACCCGTCACGACGCCTACTGGTTGACCTGACCTGACCTGACCCGACCTGGTCTAAATGCTTCAAGACATCATCTGTGATCAAAACTAACACGATATTCGTGATCAGCACCCCGAAAAACCCCTTAGCAGCCACACTTTACGACTTTCTAACAGGTCCCGATTTTCCCGACTTTGGGTCATTGACCTGACCTGGAAGGTCAACCAATGACCTAGGACCTTAAAATTGGGTATCATCGGCTTCCTCTCGTCACGGGCAACACGCTCGCTTTTTCCGCGAAGCTCTAGCTCGATCAGGAGCCAAACGGCAAGGGGGGGGGTCCAACCGACCCCCCCCCCCCTACACATTAGAAGCTGGCAAACGCCGCACACATGCGAGGGTTAATATCGCATTGAAACACCTTGAGGAATGCTGGTAAAATGATCAATAAGCTCGCTTCTACCCAGAGTTATGCACTGCCGCTCATGGTATGGACGGATGGCAGCGCCCCATCGCCATGGGTTCCAGGTGACATCACCTCGCGGCGATAGCGGGGCCTCCCGGGGTCAAAATACCGCCGCGGGCGCTGAGGTCACCCCGCCCGATCACCAGTCACGACGACCGAGGTCACCGGCGCAGTGGGCCGGGCGCGCCGCGCTCAAACTCGACCGTCGCGCCCGGCTGGGCGGCCAGAATGCAGCCACACCCTGCCGTCCGCTCGTCCCGCCCGCCCGCGACCTCCTGCCCCCCGCCCCGCCCCCCCCCCCGGTCTGTGACCTGCAGGGGTGCTGGGTCAGCCCGGTACCGCCGGTCGCTACCCGGTGCTGGGCGATGACGCCTACCACTCAACAATGGCACTGTGGATTGTCAGTCATTCTGACGCAGCTATGACGCCCGTGACGCAGCTGCATCAGTCCTGGAGGAAACCGGGCAACTGGGAAACACGCGCGGTGACGTTACGCCGTTTGCCGTCCAAAGGAAGTTTATCCGCTATATGAACATTCACGTTATACTGTGCACTGCACGTAGGTTAAGCACTTCCGTGGCTAAAGCGGATCAAAACAATGAATGGGTAATGGCTCAAGTTCGTAAAAAATCAAATCAAACACATCGTTGGATTGCGCCAAGCTATGGTAACATGATAACGAAAAACGCTACGCATTGTTTAGTGTGTGTTGTATGTACGTAAGTACCTACCTATGTGACACCATAAATGTTGTGCTGCTCTTGGCCTGGGAACTCACAATCGGGATGTACGACAAAACTCGGCTCCGGCTCGTGAGCGTTGCGCTTGAAATACATAGAGCTCTGCCGCATCACGTGCCTACACGATTTACGTAGGTGCCGCTTTTACAGCGCTACCTGCAAAACAAAAGGTTCAGTCGGCGCTGCGCAGCGCGCACCTACCTACACCGTAACCGCAAACCAGGATCGAGCAAATATAGTGCAGCTCGACCGCGGCCGAAGGCTGTATGCACTACACGAGTACACTGCTGTAGTGCATGTGTGCACAGTTGCTTTAGTAAATCCACCGAGCAACTGCAGTCGTTTGACGTTTACCTGGTGCCAAAAAATACGACACTCATTGTCCTAAGGTCAGTGAGTGGAAATGATAAGAAATTAGTTAGATGTGACTGAAGTGTATGCATTATTACTAAGATATTTTATAATGAATATAAAGATGCTGTAATCTGTATGCGTTTAGGAAATAGAACTGAAGGTTTCCTCCAAACTTCCGAAAATGATTTTCGTTGTATGGAATTAGCTAAAATGGGAGTTGGACGACTGACGATCTTGCCTTTCTCGCTTCCACTGCAGAAGAAGACTGGCCAGTGCAGGCAACTCCTGCCAGTCTGCTCGTTCCACTGGGAGATGTGCTGACCCGCAGGGATATACTTTACAAAAATCTTTCCAAGGGAGACAAAACATCGCTGAACGCTAATTTTGACATCTAATCCAGCACAGATCCGTGCTTTTATTGCAGGATGAAAAACATTCCTTTATCCAGACAAGCATAACGTCCTGCCTGTAACCTTTCGAATTGCGAGCCGAAACATATCAATGATGTCATGGACAATGTGCACACGTGAGGCAAAATATGCAGATAATACATGCTGCAGTCATGGATACAGCGGCTTTCTTATCGAGAGCATGCAAATCTACTTGGCATTTGGCACGAGTCGGCGATAGTATACCGTTAGCGCAAACAGAAACTGCGCAGCGCTCAACAACAAAGAGATTGTTTGACATACCCTTGCTCTCTTCAGCCGAAAACTGACGCATCACATGTGCACTTTCATCGTGCAATGTGCATTGTGATTGTACTGGGTCGCGTTGACATCAAACAGCATGTTCAATAGGTAGGTATGTACACGACAATGAATCATGCGCATGCACTTGCTCTGTGCCTATTATAGTCAGTCAGCCAAAGAAGGTCTGACCTGTTGCTCAGTGATATTGAAAACCACAATCAAGGAGTTGGAACGGCCCAGACGAACTTCTCTGCCGGCCCCTCTCGCTGACATCTGCCCTGCCCGTCTCAGCGACCCGCCCCCTGTGTATATCCGGCTCATGTATCCATGACGAGCCGCAGCGGTCGGGCGCGGCTGTGGTCAGTACGGTTACCATGACAACAGGCTGACTCGGCGTATCCTGCCGGTCATGTGACCCGGGGACCTTCTGACACTGTCCAGTACCGGGTCCGGGACCGATGTTATGCCCTCGGCGGTCGGCGGCTTCTCCGCTGCTGACATAACGCTGACTGGGACCTCCTACACAGTACACAGCCGGAAGGGCGAGTAATCTGCTCGCCTGAGCTGAACGATACTGAGATGAAGTCACGGATATGCGCAGCACGAGCTAAAAGTGCAGGCGGCTTTGTATAGTAAGACCCGCGACCGCCTGGGGGGGGGGGGGTCGGATCCGACCCCCCCTCCGTTTTTCTTGAATAACTTATGAACCGCTTACGTTATCGACTTGAAACTTGGCACACCTTCTCCCCCATCAATTTGATGTCTCCTGTGCAATTTTTAAGAACAAAAAATTTCCAATTTTTTTTTAGATATATCGATTTTAGTGATGTAAATACATGGCGTTTTCAGTCAAAAAGTGGTAAATGTTTGAAAAATCGCCAAAAATCAGGGTTTAAAGCAAATTGCAAATTAAGAACATGAATGGACGCAGCGCAACAAGTTCTTTAAAATGGCTATCTCGGATTTTCCATAAAATGCGGTTTTCACCCCTAAAAATTCCAAAAAGTATATTTTTTTGGAAAACAGCTAATAAAATCCAAAATTTTGAGAATTTCCAAAAAACCGGAATATATGTTGTAGAGCTCTATTAGAACATTGGATGTCCCAAATTTCAACGTTCTATCGTGATTTTTGACCCCCAAATTGTAAAAAATAGCTCCAACATGCATAGGGCATGGTGACGTCATAAGTATTTTCGTGAATTAGAGGCACTTCTGAACATCGCATGTGAAAACAAATGGCACCACTAGATTCCTGGGACAAAGCTCGTCTAGGAAAGTGCATTGTTATGTCAAAAATAAAAAGTTGAAAAATTGACCTTTTTTCTTAGCCCTCGCTTAGTTATGTATGGTATAAACGATTTTTTATGCTTTCAATGCACACTTATCACCAAGCACAGTGACT